GGTGCGGCTCAGGTCGAGACAGGAATTCTTTACTTGCAGAGTGGTGAACGCGTGGAATGCGTTAGATGACGAAGTAGTGGCTGCCCCGCGCTGTGACTATCTTTAAGACGAAACTAGATGCTTTCATGGACAGGCAAAAAGGTGGGGTGCAATGTTGGCGTTAGGTACTAGGCAGTAAGCAACTAGGATGGTAAAAAAAAAATACAAAAATATTTAGCTTTAAGAGGGTTAGGCCTACCCTAAAATTAAGGAACGCTCGACCTCGACACGTGATATCGAAATGGGCGAAATCGCCTCTTGATATCACTAACTCTCCTGACTCCTGACTCCTGACACTGCAAGATTTTGCAAAATATAATTCACTTGGATTGATATTGATTTTTTCTTGGTAGTCTGCTGTTCCTTCCCCTCGAAACTCTTGAATATATGGTTTTGATAAGTAATTCATGCTGAACAACTTGATTGTAACCTACTCTAATCTAACTTAACCTAACTTTTCCAAACCTTTCAGATTAAAGGAAAAGTGTTATTTTATTGCTCGGCATAGGACACCCTTACAAAGGATATATAACTCGTTGAATTCTGTTAAAGGGCCAAAATAACATTATTTTGGGCATAATTCTTCGATTGCTGCATATAACCATTCAACTTTGTTTGACCATATCTTTTGAAGGAACTCTCGGATGCAGCTCATACAGTTTTTGGTGGAGAGAATCATGGGCCTGAACGAATTTATTCCCATGGTTAAAAAATGACATTGCAAGTAGATAGGTGGCACTTCTATCGACATCTGCGCCCTCTATCCGCATGGAACGACTTCTTGTGTCAAGGGAAAAAAAACCTCCTTGACTCATGAACCTCCCTCTCAAATATCACTTGAATATGACAATCCCTTAAAAAGTCGAGGAAAATATGGCAGTGACTATAAAAATCCTGCATCACTGAAAATTGAGATAGTCATTTGTGGGCCTAAACCTGTTTCTTTGCCGGAAATTTTGGTTACGTTTGACTTAGTTTTGAGAGTCACTTCAATTACCAATTACGTCAATTATAATCAGATTACCCCTAACTGGAGAGACGGCTCGCGGGTCGTGTTGGGTCAGGGCGAACGGGTCTAGCCACAGTTCGTGCAGGGCTCTAATTCCCAGTTCATCCCATAGCGATGATAACTGCTGTTTTACCCATGAAACATTTAGAACTCCTTCTTAACCCCTTGGAAAGTCATAACATTGTTGGCAGCACGCATAAACATAACATGTTTACATAAATGTTTTTCATTTTGCATGGTCTTTTCGTGAAAAATTCATTGATCCATTGTTCAACGAAAACTTTAAGTCTGCGAACTTTAGTGTGTGAAAAGACATATCCTAGCATCGGCAGTGTGGTCTGGAATAATGAAGAGGAAAATCATAACCCAATGAAGTTCATCAACAGTCTCACTCCAGCTGGGCTTGCTCCCCATACATGAACTAAAATGCGAGGTACAGGGCGACAATTCTCAATGTTACAGATTTTAATGGCTCGCCATGTACACAATTTTTAACAGAGAGTGTTGAGTGAAACATTTCCAGAAAGCTTGTCCCATGCAGACTTTTTTTTTCAACGCAGTTTTTTTTAACATGAGGGGTCAATATTTGCTAGAGCAAAAGGGTGTGGATAGGGACTAAATTCACGCAGACAATGGGTGAGTTCAAATCGGGTGTCGGTGTTCGGTGTTGGTGTTATTTCCCGGTGTTAGGGTTGAGAGGCTTCTCCTAACACCAGCTTCGGTGTGAACACCAACACCAACACCAACACCAACACTGACACTAACATTGACACAAACGTTAAGACCAACACTAACATTGACATGGAACCCAGAATAACGGCGTCATATTAGGGCTGCTTTCATTTTTCTCTCAGGTTACCATGCAATTGACGGGTTATGCATAACGCAGCTAGCGATCAGTGGCAGACTCATGAAATGCGATTGATAATTAATTACAACTTTGCCTACGCCTTAAATCTTCTTGTTAGGTCTATGTTGGTACGATGAACATTTTTTAACAAGTGATTTCGTATTTTTCAAAATGATGATTACATGTTGAATATTCATTTATTTTCTGATATTGCCTTCTCATAAAAACGGAACATTTGATGTCCTATTACACTACGTGACAGCAAGCAAAGGAGATTTGGGATGGCCTTAGTGACACTATTTTCTTTAAAGCGTTCAGCTATCTAGAATACTGGTTGATTTGCATCGTGCGTTCTAGATAAATTGGGAAGCTCAGCATATGAAGATTTTCTTTATTGCTAAGTTTGCCGGTTTATGGTAAACATGGCAACTTTTTATGTATGAGTTCATGCATAAAAAGCTCATTGATACTAATTACATAGCATATAATCTCGCGATGTGCATGGTGATCTCATCGCCGATTACTAGCAGTCATTAGGTTTAGTAATCAAGGTAACAGAAATTAGATCATATTGATTTTAAGATGTGAGGCACACTACATGGACGCATACGAAAGAGGGACTATTTCATTAGAGATGTTCCACCTACAATGATAATGAAGTTTCCTGACCCGAGGTCACTGATGTGGATTGTTTTCACGCAAATTTTGCCTAGTCTCCCAATCCGACAACCTGAACATACCTTGCAGGAGTCTTACGTACCTCCTAAGTAAACGAGAGGCTCCGGTCAAGAAGTGGCTGAAATTGCCACGTTGGAGAAACTCCTTATTTTCTTTTGCCAGAGATTCCAGGAGCGAAAGACACCCGAATTTTCGTCTGAGAGCGTGATGGTAGTAGAGTTCAGTTATGATGGCACTTCCGCTGAAGCACAGTGTTATGAAGCATATAACGTGCGCGTGTTCGCGATGTCTCGACTCTCTTTCCTTTTATCTCTCTAAATTCTTCACACAATTCTTGCCTTTACTTACTGCTAGTCACTTACGGTACTAACACCACTTTTGAACTCGCTATGGTGTTAACCCCTAGGGATTAGTGTAAAACCCCTTGATGAAGTATGGGGAATCCCCTCCACACCAACATCGAATTGGGATTGAGATGGTATTTCGTGTTTAACGTCACAGGGCGAGTTCTAATCAGGTGTTAAGGGGTGGAGTTCGTGCTACATGGAACACTAACACGGAACACCAACACCGAATTTGAACTCACCCAATGTCAAACTGTGGGAATACTGAAACCAACACGGAGGGCACCTCGAACACATTTTAGCATAATTGCAGTATCATTTTTGTCAAATTCCTTTATATCTTTTATCTTTATAACTGCAGAGTTTTAGCCTTAAATTGAGTTTTACTCATTAAAATCAGTAGTCAATTATAAAAATGAGTGCTTACGAAAATTTGTAACACTGAAAATTGTTACCCTCGATAATAGGCATGTCCAAGAGAGACCTAAATTGTGAGCAAGGCCTGGTTAGGAGAGTTCGAGTCTTAGTTGTGCGACTAAATGAGAACTTTTGGACGTAGATGAATTTGAAGGTGGAGATATTGACCGGTGAAACAAAAAAGAAAGGGCTTTGCTTCCATCCATTCACTTGGGTACGTCAGACCCGACGAGGCCTCTCACTATCAAACGGCTCCAGTTTCCAATCGATGTTGCTTTAGCCGTGACTATCAACAAGAGACAAGGTCAAGCATTCAAGTTAATTGGATTGTACCTACTTGAAGCTGGATTTTTCCTACAAACAGTTGCATTTAGCTTTCTGAAAAGTATAGCAATGGAAAACGTTAGAATGAAGATAGAGGCTGGACCCCGATAATGCTGATACCTAGGCAATGATGGATTTTATACACTGAATGTCGTGTTCTAAGAGGTTTTCAATTGAAAATAAGGTACAATTTCTTAGTATCAATTTCTAAAAATAATGCAAAATAATCTTTGGTGTTCTATTAAAAACAAATGACCCAATTTCTGTAGCTACTGTTATATGGTGGAGTTCAATATATTCCTCTTCTGACCATGTACATTTATTATGTTAATTATTTGGGCTTAAATCAAACAAATCGTTACTTTGTTATTTCCATTTTTTGCGCTGGGCTCCGCTTGTTTAAAAATATTTGGTGTCTTCGCTATAGTAGATGTGCCTTCAGACCTTACAATATGGTCACTTGGGGAATGTGGTCCAAGAATCCTTTAACAGGCTGAATAATTCGTTGGGCGAATTATAAAAATATTTCTTCCGAAGAGTACATGCATGTCTCGAAATATTTAGAATTATCATTAATCCAGTTCTCACAGGAATTCCGGTTACAGCGATGTTTCGAAAGTCAATGGCGAAGTCAATTCATTAGTTCAATTCATGACCCTAAAACTAATATGAGCCTTGATTGACTAAGGATATATTTCCTAATAACAGCCCGGATCCACAAACCTTCGCTAAAGGTTGTTCTATGGTCTCTCCAGAATGCTTAAGGAAAGTGCTAGCCCCTTCACTTGCGGCTTGCAGGCAGTGTTGTCAATCTTGTCACCGAAATCAATATCAGGGAATGTGGTCCATTCGATTTGGGGTTTCATTGGCAAGTCCTTGAATTTATGGTAGCACCGCACTGACCTATTGGCAATGTCAACATTCTCTCATGTGGCACCTCAGGCAGCATAAGATCATCCTTTGCACATCCTTTGGATATACAGTGAGGGACAAAACTGTAAATGTTTGACACAATTCCAGTTGATGACTCATAACTTGAGTATAACGGGATCAATTTAAATTAAGTTTCAGTCAATCATAAACTTACTTCCAGGCTTTCGATTGGTGCTAGTTGCATGTCAACTGCCCTCTATTGGCTGAGCTGCAGCTGTTCAAAGTCAACAATGTCATTGACAGTTTTGTCCCTCACGCTCGGACATACAGAAATTCGAATTTATTATTACTCTGTATATTCGCTTTCGGCCGTCAACACTACCAGTACCATTCTAGTTATGCTCTCGATCAAGTCCAAGCATATTTGGACGGAAATGGCATCCCATTCGGTTGTCACCCGCCGCCACGACTCGTGGATGCTGATTGGCTCATTCCCGTAGACAGCTAGTCTTCGCTTCAGGTCTTGCCGCAAATGTTTCATTGGGTTGAGGTCTGGTGACTGCTGGTCATTCAAGGACCTCGATTTTTTGGTCCTGGAAGGATTGGTGAGCCATCCGCGATGTGTGTCGGATCATTGTCTTGCTGAAACACCACCTCTCTCACTTCCAGCCGGTCGAGCTCAACTGTCAAGCAATTCTTCCTCGATTATGCTTCTATTCATCTTGACATATATATTCTTCTTTGTATATGACATCCATATCTGACCCTCTTGCCGTCATGCAGCCGCAATACATTAGAATGCCTCCACCATGCTTGCAACGAATCTCTAACATATCACTATGTTAAGGCTTTGCCACGCTGTTTCCAATTCCAGTAACGCCCATTCGACTTCTTAAGGTTGATTTTGGTCTCGTCTGACCAAATAATACCCTTCCAATTCTCATTGGTCCAATATTTCTGACTGTAGGCGAATTCCACCAGCTGTCGAGGCACTAGCATGTCGGCATGTGTGGGGAACCGGCAAGTATAGTGGGGTCGTCATGACCGTTTGGGGCTACATGACGCCCGAAGGAGCTGCATATGGGTATCAAATACGAGGAAGAATAGATGCCAAGGTGTATACAAGCATAATCCAGGACGAATTGCTCAATTGACTGTTGAGCTCGACTGGCTTGAAGTAAGAGAGGTGGTGTTTCAGGAAGTCAATGCTCCGAGACACACATCGCGGATGGTTCACCAATGCTTCCCGGACCACAGAATCGTGGTCCTAGAATGGCCAGCAGTTACCAGCCTTCCACCCAATGGAACATCTGACTTGACTTCAAGACTTGAAGGGAAGACTAGCTGTGTACGAAAATAAGCTGATCAGCATCCATGAATTGTGGAGGCGGGTGACAACCGAGTGGGATGCCAAATATACTTGGACTTGATCGAGAGCATATATAGAATGCTATTGGTAGTGTTGAAGGCCGAAGGCGAATACACAGAGAATAGATAAATTCGAATTTCTGTATGTCTGAGTGCGAGGGACAAAACTGTGTCAATGACATGGTTGACTTTGAACAGCTGCAGCTCAGCCAATAGGAGGGCAGTTGACACGCAACTAGCACCAATCGAAATCCAGGGAGGAGGAACATGGTTAACTGAAATTTAAGTTCAGCTGAACTTGTCATACTCGAATTATGAGACATCAACTGGAACTGTGTGAAGCATTGACAGTTTTGTCCCTCACTGTATGGATAGACATAAGGTCATTCGGGGTGAGATAAAAAATAAAATGTTCATTTTTGAATGAATGACAAAACTAATCTATGGCATATATAATGAAGTACTTTTGTGCACTTCAACCTTAGATTATTAACTTCAAATCATGGTGTTTTCATTCACTCACTTCAAAGACTGCCGGCGTACACTACATTTGCGATAGAAATGTCAAGTTGATCACACACGGAATACATGGTAAGTGTGGTCACGAACGGGGTGTGATCACAAGGCCAATAACTCTAGGGTATCTTAATTCACCCAATACAGTCATCATGATTTTTGTAAACCTGTAGACAAGAAATTAATTCTGTAAGCGTTTTCACTTATCCTAATCAAATTTCTAAGTGATCACACCCCGTTTTAGGAGCATGATCTTGGAAAGAGAAACCGTGATTATGAAACAAATAGTTGTGAGACTTGGTGGTATATGTGAAATTTGCAACTATCAGGATATCGGCGCAAAAACAGCATGTGCCTTGCAATCAGCAATTGTTTATATTGATCATACTTACCACGAGTATTTCCCCATAGCGACATAGGGGAAATGGAAACAATTGAAAGGAGTGGAATAAGCTCTGGTTTCGGTTTGATGAACTTCCCATCACTCCATATGCTCTTCCGTTCCTCACTTCTCAATATTTATTGCTACTATTTCTTTGGCAATGAGAAAGTTGATTCACATTTTCAGCATGATTTTATAAATTCGCTTTGCTAATAGATTCGCAACCACACTCAGAGGAATCGGTAAATCAAGATGAAATACTTCTCTTAATTTTCGCGTTTCGAGTTATTTTTCTCAAGAGAAAAAGACATCAACTGGATTTTCGATTTATATCTCTCGCTTCCCGACCGTGCAGGGTCGCCTGAAAAGCGTTCGCAAAACCAATTTGTGTGTATAGCCGAGTCGGAAGGGTTTTTTCATTGACCTTGTATCGTCTCGGCACATGTTAACCTCCGTATTCCACGTCATCATGAAGAGAAAGCCCCCTCCCTCACTCCCTCCCCCCATGAACCCTCGAGGCAATGCATTAACAGTTGAGGGATTCACATGCAAACGCCTGAGTGCATGGCCTCTTCGCCACTTCAACTTCCCTCTGACCCGTGCGAGTGGTATATATATTACTAGCGAGTTTGTGTCCTTTTTCGTATGGGTGGAAAATACATTTTGAAATACTTCCCTCCTATAATCTACGCTAAGGGACATATTTCAAATATAGGATTTTTCTTGTACTCAGCAAAGAGGTACTTCTGAGGGAAGTATACATTTTGTCTTTGTTTCGTTGCATCAAAAATAAATTTCTGTAAAATGGGACCGGAAAAATGTGCCCGAATGGGTTTTAACGAAAATTTTATTTCTTCGGAAATGTGGACTCAGGGAACTCCATGCCACTCAATTTCAGCCTTATACGTTTTCCCATTTTGTTGGCGGAAAAAAACGTATTTGGAAAAGCGACACACCCTAAAACTGTGCTCTGAGGAGACGCACATGAAAAATGAAAATTTTCCTTAAATCAACATCACGTCCGTTATGCGAGCGACAGGGGCTACTTTTCTATTTCTGTCCGATTCACTGCGATACGAAAAATTCTGTGAAAACGTTACGTTATAATGTGGGCGGCTCCAACGTGATTTAACGTTAATGACTATCACGAAGAG